TGAGCAAAAGAAAAAAAATCTTCACATGCCATAGTACTATTCAATCTGATTTTCAATTCAGCAGCTATCGTTTCATTCACCATCGAATTGCGACTGGCTGTCCATGCGCTTTTCATATGACTAAAAACGCCTTCGACAAATGCATTCGAGCAAGGAATTGAGTACACATAAGAAATAATTTTGTGCATTTCAATACACATTGGTTTCGACTTTGCAAGAAGAAAAGACCAAAATTGATCAGACCGAAATTCCATTTCTCTTTCATGATTTTCGGTCGTCGGTTTGTGAATGAGATTATCTTCATCATGGGACTCGTTGCATAAGTCATTGTTGAATTCTTCATAAACACTACGAGCATCATTATTGATATATTGGCTAATTTGACGACTCAATGACTCACGGTATGAGTTCAATTCTTTGAATTTCGATTGTAAAATACTCATTTCATCGAATAGTTTATCACGATCAATATCCATCCGGAGAAAATCAATGCATTTTTCAATTTGATGAAATTTAATTTGATTAAGGTCGCAAAATCCTAAAAGAAAAAAGGATCATCATCTCGTCTAAACTGATTTGAAAAACCTACCAAAAATTGCTGTCAATTCTGCTAACTCCTTCTGCTCGCTGTAAAACTTCTCAATGTATTTGATTAAAGTTGAAATATAATCAATGAATGACTGATTCAGTTTTTCTCGTTCTGAATCGACCAATGAATTCAACAATTTTTTCGTTTGATAGCCAAAATAATTATGTTGCAATCGATCGTTGAGTTTGATAAGAAGACTAGTGATAATTCGATTTAAATCAACGATTGAGATATGATATCCTTGAAGTTCCAGTGCCTTTTTTTCGTACATCAAATAATAGATTGTGTAGAAAGTATAATGTGCATTTAGCTTCGGTCGAACTAAAAAATGTTGCAATCATTGGTGGACAGGCAAATTCATCTTTGTCCCCCATATCCAGAAAATAAGTCGACAATGGCTCGTAGACCTTCAGCAGTCTTTCAATAGATGGATAAAGGCTCAGCCAGCGAATACTGATGTGCTTTAATAACAACTAAAACGACATTTTATTGATTGTTGATAGTAATAAATATCAATAGAATGAAATGTCTTACTAGATAATCTTGTTCGACAAAGTCAAAATATTCTTTTAAATTTTCCACACGCTTAGCGGAATAAGAAAAATGGCCATAAAGCTTCGACAAAATGGATTCAACATCAATAACCAAACATTTGTGCGAAGTCTTAACTGAATTATTCAATACATGAGAAAAACAATTTCCTATATGAAGATAAATAATTATTACTGGTAAGTATTCCACCGTTCAAAATGAGGAACCTTTGATCAGATTGGGAAAATCAGATTTTAGTAAAGAAAAAGCTGAATGATATTGTCCATAGTTCACATTAGTGTTATCTGCACCAATGGATGTCATTTTTTTAATATCGATATTGTTCATCTCCAATACCTCTCGAAGAGATGCAACGACGTGGTTGGCTGTTTCATGGGGTTGTTCAATAACTTCAATCACAGATCGTACAATTCCACGCTCCATTGTGAAATAATTAATTATAAACGGAAACATTTTCTTATGGCCTTTATTTGATGCATCAAATGACAATGAGTAAAAATGATTTTGATTGATTGCTTTAATAATTTTTGAACTGAAGTAAGGAGCTAAATTTAAAAACGCATTTTAAAAGAATCATAAGAGTTAAAGAAAACCATTTCTTAAATGTTTCTGAGCCTCTCTCAATGATTAGTAAATGTTCCAACATCAGAAATGAAGCTTTCATTACCTAGAACATTTACAGCTAATTCACGAGCTTTTGTTCGCCCACATGAAATATTTTTTGCAATAGTTGAGTCATGGAATAACTTCTTCGAAACATCAACTGTACACGATTGACTATTGTAACTATGTGCATGACGAATTCCATGATAAACTAGTGTTAGTTCAGCAGCGATCATCGAAGTTAATTGTGATGGCGGATGTATAAAATCAAACATCAAACGAGCTAAAGCAAAAAAATCAACTCAATCAGTATTTTTCGAAATGCAGTATAAAAAAATTACATTTGTTCTCAGCTTCAATTGCTGCTAAACGCTTATGGCTTGCTTGTTCAAGATGACGATCAATCAAATACTTTCCCCCATTGGCTATCGAGAAATTTGATTTACAAACACAACAATGTGCGAGTGATGAATCGCTTCTACATTCTTGCAAGAATGATGCATATTTCGAGATTTTTATCCATTCTTTATTAAACTTGCAATATCTTTTCGACTTCGAAGAAATTGTTTTCTTTTCCATTGTATTAGAAGACAGCCGAGAGATCGAATTTGAATTTTTTGATGCTGCTGCTGGTTCATATTCGATTTCACTGGAACTTTCCTCTTCTTCAATGATTTCAACATCCAACTGAATGGAACTATGGATGGCCATCGCTTCGATTATCAGAATCTATAATTATAATCGTTGGTTTTAACACAATTCAATAGAAAATACGAATTGCTACAACTAAACAGATATACTCCAACTAAGACAAAATTGAATCACGATTATTAGATCGAAAATGAAAACAGAAAACCGAAAACAGCACTTATCCAGTAGCGACATCCTCCATTGGTTAACTAGCAGTCAACCAATATAATTGACGCTTCACATTCACATCTTTATCAAAAGTAAATGTCGGATAAAGAGACAGAAATTTTCTGAATTTCAACCACAATATGGATGATAGTAGTCGTAACATTGAAAAATGCAAATGGGGTACAAAATGCGTACCTCAGAGGTACAATTTTTTTTGAGGTACAAAAGGCTCAAATGGGGTACTGTACCCCCAAATGGGGTACGGCTGGTAGCCCTGACACATACATAGGATGTGTCATATGTAAGTAGATTTTTAATAAAAAAATTGAAATATATTCATTCTAATTTAATCAAATGAACTAATTTTTTTCAGAGAACTGA